CTGTGCTTTGAAGGAAGCCGGAATTCATCTTGGGACAGCGAAAATGCTGTCTTTCTAGATTTCTGAACTCCTTTGTAGTTCAGATTTGTGTTCCATGAATCCAGACCATTATCCTTGAGTTGAAATCCCATATTAATAAATGTAACAACATCCATAGATGATATTAACATATCCTAATTCCATATGAATACAAAGAAAGATTATACTAGAAGTAGGAAAGAAATAGAGTTTTATAGTAGCTTAAGGATGGGGAAAAACTCTCCAAAGATCATAACTGGACAAAGCTATAGGATTTGAATCTGACAACATTGTAACTAAAACTGATTTGATGTGAATTTAAACTGCAAGCTGTCACCTGTAACTGCCAAAATTATTGTTCACACTTTGTGTGTAGTGTTGAGCTCGCTTCACTTCACTTGGCTTACTACATTATCTGGCTTATTGCTTAAAAGAACTAACGTTAAAATCTTTGGTTTGATGAGTACTTAATTAAGTTTCAGCTGCCATCATTGTTACCATATCTTTGTGAAAATTCATTGTTTAATTGATACTGTTAAACTAGTTCCTTAGTCTAAATCTTTTAGAGCAGGGGTTCTCAACCTTTTTCTTTCTGAGGCCCCGCAACTATGCTATAAAAATTCCACAGCCCACCTGTGCCACGATAACTGTTTTTCTGCATATACAAGACAGGGCCGGCGTTAAGTGGTAAGCAGGGCAATTGCCCTGTGCCCCATGCCACAAGGCACCGTGAAGCTAAGTTGCTCAGGCTTCTGCTTCAGCCTCAGGCTTCAGTCCCATGCAGTGGGGCTGGGGCCCAGGGCAGAAAGCTGAAGCAAGTGTAACACTGGTCCTGCTTGGTGGAACCCCTGAAACTTGCTCATGGCCCCCCCACGGGGCCCCGGACCCCTGGTTGAGAACCACTGTTCTAGAGTTACTTTACTGTACACAGTTAGCAAATCTCCCTCCATTCTGCCCCTTTACAAAGAGACTGTCAGCTTCTGTGTGTCTGTGAGAGAAATGCCTCTAATTTCTTTAAATAAACTCTATTCCCATTTTAACTGAGTTTTGACTTACACTCAATATGTTAAATTTCCCCTTTCTAACCTATACATTCTATATGTATAAGAAAGTCCGTTCCCTATCTCCTAACCTTACTCCAAGTTTAAAGAGTTTCATTTAACAGTTAAAATACCTTTCTACTGGAGTTGGCTGCTCGGTGCACTTCAAACTACAGAGTTATCTGATGTGTTGATATGTTACACTCTACAGTAGCCTTCTTTCCATTTTGATGTCTGATAACTTAAATTTTTACTGGTTTACCTTATTTCAAATACTAAGAGTCCTGTGTTCCTTAATTACTTTTCTGCATATCAATCTTGCTGGTGTTTGTTTTTTTATATATTATGCAGACTTTGTCTGTGACCATCTGTATATAAAAGTCTCTTATGCAAATTAACTCAATGATAAAAGCATCTCCTTCTAGGGTGACCAGATAGCAAGTGTGAAAAATTGGGACGGGGGTGGGGGGTAATAGGTGCCTATATAAGAAAAAGCTCCAAATATCGGGACTGTCCCTATAAAATCGGGACATCTGGTCACCCTACCTCCTTCACATCTATCTCAACTTTTCTAAACCATTCACTTTGCCTAAAATTCAAACTTCAACTGTAACCACTACTTGTTTAGGCTCTGTTACTATCTTTCACCATTTCTAAACTTTAGCCTAACTCAACCAAACCAATAGGTAACTTATTCAGTCTGCAGTGTTTATTGTAATAGTCACCGTGCATATAGCTATCGTATCATTGCTTTCTATGTTGTCGCAGTAACAAGTTTCACAGTAACACAATTTCAAGCATCAGGGTTCCAGAATCCAGGAAAATGCAGAAATGGAGGATGAAATTAGAGATAAGATAATAAATGCCTCTCTCAGATGGAGAGAGAGAGAGAAAGATACCACTGATTAAAAGGGAAAGTCTATAAAATGTTGGTTCATCCAGTTTTAATGTATGGTGCTGAGTGTTGGATAACAAAGAAGAAACATGAGCAAATGGTCTGTTCCACAGAAAAGCAAATATTGAGATGGATGAGTGGGTATAAGCAAGAAAGGCCAGGTGCGGAATGTGTTTGCTAGAGACATGCTCAAAGTCACATCCATAAGTAAAAAAATGAGGGAGTGCAGGCTCAGATGATTTGGTCATGTAAAGAGTTGTCCTGACAACTATGTGGGTAAGAGTCCAACAGTTCAAGACTGAAGGAAAAAGAAGCCAATCCAAGAAGTAGCAGTGGCATGTCATAAAGGAAAACCTATTGATATGTGGTGTGATAGAGATTCTAGCACTGAACAGCGCACTTTGGAAGGAGAGGACTTGTAGAGCGAACAGCATTGGATGGGATTAGGGCAAGGAAGAAGGAGAGTTGTCACAGTAACACACTTGGATTTGGCATGTGTGTCTAAACACTGCTTAATTTCAAGCTATAGAATCATGCTTACCCCTCAAAGTACTATTTCCTTAAACCAAAAGTAAAAGTTTTAGTAATGGTTTTGGTAGATTTTGTTTCAGTTGACGCTACTTTCAATTATATTGTCCTAACCAACCTATCTAGTTTAATCAAAATTGTTTTTCTTTACTTAAGATATTGTAATAATGAAATTGAATTATAGTTGTTGTAATCTGGTTCAAGAAGTTTATATTTGATACATTTCTTTAAGTTTAGCTGTTGATTTATGTTAATAATGTTTAGCTGCTAGTGAATCTTAATGAGGGTAAACAACCTGTTGATGCTATTAGTATCCTAAGTAATTAAATGAATACCATTGTTGTTGATACTCATAGCTTTTTTAATTTAATACTCAGTTTTATAATAGTCCATTCAATATAGTTTTAATTTACTTTATATTTTAAGAATTTCTTGTTAAGAGGTTGCTTTAAGTATTGCTACATTGTATCATTCATTTTATGTACCTTTCTTTCCCTATAGTTATCTCAGTTGCATAATCCTTGTGATCTAATTGTTGGTTTCCTTATCGTTTTTTATTACTTGAATAAACATTTTCTGTGTTTCAAGTTCAGTGGTTTATTTTGGGGCATAGTGTATAGGAAGAAGAATCTGTGGTGAATTTTGTGATTTACCCCTTAGGTGCAGTCACGTTAATGAACATAATCAATAATTCCATCTTTTGATTCAGTTTTCCTGAACTAGTCATGTGAGAAGTGAGTAATTAATAATTCTATCTAATTGTTTCTCCAATTATCAATTTTGATAATTGTTTTTCTTTTGGTTATTTTACTTTGAAAATTACCTGTTGTCCTATTCCTTTGGACCCCCAAAGCCCTTTCCTAAGGGGTGGTACTGTAAACACAGTCTACTCTCCCCAAAAGAGTGACTAACACTGAGTTATTTCTGCTCCCTTTGGCACAGGCAATGGGTGTGTACCCCCTGGTCTCAACAGTGTGAGTCAAACCCAGACTCTAAGATTGTGCTGTTTTGGAAAACGGAAAAACTGAAACAGTGAGATAAAAAAGAACTGCAAGGGAGGGAAACACAAGATTTTATCCTGGGCACAGAGAGAACTCATTGGCAACAGTTTTCATGGTTATTTATTTTCATTATAAACTTTACCATCATGAAATCTCTGAACTCTGGATCCGATAGTAATTGTGTTTTTGAATTACTTAATAAAATTACAACTTTGATCTTCTGCTTTGGCGCCCTCCCCAGTAATCATTGCCCACTTTGGTGTTCATCTGTTCATAGTACGGCACATTTTATAGAGCAAATTTAACACAAAATTCAGAATGAAATGTAAATGACCTTTATTGTTAATATTGATATTGTAAATTAGACTCTGTCACAACATCTACCAAGACTCTGTTGCACTAACACTACAGGGATTTGCTGGTCAGCCTCACCAGTTACTGTCACTCTTGATAAGTAAGCATGAGTGGTCTGGAATGTTTAACAATTCAGCAATGTGAAATGCGGTATGAATTCTGCAGTTGTTCTGCTCAGATGGTTTCTCTCATCTCTGTTTCAATAGTTGTTGAAAGACTTAACTGTTAAGATTGGGGAAGTGCAAAAATGAAAAGGAACTTTAAGCCTGAATCTGATTTTACATTGAGTAAATCGGGATAAGCTCCACTGAAGTAAATGGAGTTATGCCAGTGTAAAATGGGTGCAAGAGAATTGGGCATTTAGAAAGAATTAGAATATTAGAACAAAGAGATTTCAGAGGATAACAGAGATGGCTGTGCCTCAGTATCTACCTCCTTAATTCAGGTGTCAAAACCTTCTTATGATAGAGGAAAAGTGACCATAGAACTTCTGTGCTTTTGTCAAGTAGCTTTAATTTAGGAATTGCTTGTCATTATTTCACACCTTGCAATAAATTAAATAGTAAAAATGTGCTACATACCTACTTGCTTAATACATAAATAGTAATATCTAGCTTATATAACTTAAACCTATTCTCAATTGTCACCTTCATAATACATTTTACTGAATACATTAGAACTGCACACATTTATTAACATTTCATAGCCTGGACAAGTTTTCATTTGGCTTATTGGTCTGTTTTATGCATTTCTGTAGCTAGTACACAAATTGACAATTTAAAAGTATTTTTTCTCCCAATATCAATTATTTTACCCATCACACTCAGATACAAGGGTTTTATCCTAGCTCTTCCAAACTGTTGTCTGTCCTGTGGGAATTCACAGTGCGATACAATTAATTAATAACTATGTATCCAGTTTCAGTTTAGTGGCATAAAGGAGAAGAGGGTCTCCCCCTCCACAGCCCCCTTCCCACGCTATCAGGCTTGGAAACCTAGCTTGAGTGCCTTCATCTTGTTGGGTTTTATCATGTATGATTGTCTATCTGCACTTTGCCAGCACTTCAGAGACTGAAGTTTCCATTCTCTACGCTGAGACCCAGTTGCACAGTAGTTGCACTACTCTTTGCTGTAGGTTAATTGACATGCATAGTCTACCCTCAGATTTCCATGGCACCAAACTGCTCACTTAACACTGTTGACATGAAGCTTGTTTAAAAGATTAAGGTAGGCTTCTGATTTCAAGAATCTAGGATACGAGTCCCGCTCCATTAGCACATATACAGTTTTTTGGGCTTCATCAAAACTTGTGAAAGTTGGGTCTTGAGCCTTTTTAGCTGTAGCTTTCCTTGTACGATAGTCAATATTGATCTAGGAAGAGAAAATCAAACTTTGTTAATATCTTTTAAAAAAAATAATTTTTGCTGCTATATTTGTCACTTTATCTTCCTGAAACACAGACTCTCAGTCTTAAAACTCTGTCCAAGGTTTCTTTGAGCTACAATAATTAATCTATCCTTAAATAGCACCTTTCATTCAAAATTGATTGAACTTAAAAAAAAAAAAAAAGGTATACAAACTATACACAGGAATTGCCATTCATTGGTGCAATGCAGCCACTTCTGGGATCAGAGAGAGTAACAACTTAGGACAGAAAGTGAAGAATAAAATATCCAATTAAAATTGCAGCAGGATTTTTTGGTAGGATGTAGGCATCTAGTTTGGAATATGGCCTATGCTAACACTTCTACTTTTCTCCAAAGTGTCCTTGGATCTTTAAGGAACATAAATGATCCAGACTGGTTTCATTTCTCATTCAAGTGACGGCATCTCTAGAACTGTCTCTTAACATCTTGCTCAAATCAGCACTGACTTAGAGGGAAGAGTGCCACCTGTTGAATCACCAGCACTACTTTCACCTTACGAGCTCAAGGCAGTATGGCAGAAGGTGACTTAATGAAAATATAAGAACCTATGGCTTCTCTTCCTGTTTTATTAAAGATGTATTTGTCCTGGTACAGCCCCATTTCTATCCCTTGCCAACTCCCATAATCTTTCATATATAACACAGTACAGATTAACTTTGTGCTTACTTGTTTAGCTGCATCTATCTGAACAAACTCTTCATAAATCTTCTCCGCCTTGTCTTGCAAGTGATCAGACTTGGTTTTCTTATAGTCCTCACAAGCCAGCCAGAACTCAATGTTCTCCTCACTGAATTCTGACTTCAGAAACTCCCTGAAGGCAACTTGACCACCTATAGCAAACACAAGTACTTAATCAGTTATAATGTTATATTTATAACTTAAATTGGGGAGGATAAAATAAATACAATTAAGGTAAAGGTCACATTGAAGTCTCCTATTATAGTAATAAGATTTTGCTGAAATATACAGTATATATATATATATATATATATTTGCAGTGCACTGCAAATGAAGGGTCTGATCCAAAGGCTACTGAAGTCAGTGGGAGACTGTTCTTCTCTGCATGGTCTGACTTTGGCTCCAAGTGCACACATAACTCTTATCTACATTATTTGGAGTAATGAGGGCATGTGGAATCTGATCCAACCCGATTGAATTTAATGAGATTATTTCCATTTCCTATGGAAAGAATGGGCTATAAAGTTAAGGCAATATATTACAATAGGTAGCCATGTGACAGTGAAGATGTGAATTACTGAAAGGCTATTGGCCATTGTTTTGAGCATTATTCACAAAATGCTATAGCTTCATAGATTTGTTTAGTCTGCATGAAAGCTCACTAGATTAACATAAGAAAGTAGTAGTGATAAAATAATACACTTACTTTGGCTATCAAGAAGCTTTTCCAAAGACTGGGACCATTGCATCACCTCTTCTGCAGAAAGCCTGTGGTGACCAAAAGAAAAAATACTTAATGCAAGAAACAAAATATTGACTGTTTAGTTATTTTAATTAATTAAATTAATTAATGGCCTCTTAAGAATACTTAAAGAATACAATTGATTATTCAATTTTATGAAAATGCAGTGCTTGCTCATAAAATCTTTGGTGGACTTTGCATGAAATTGGTGGCATGCTGTTGCCCCTTAACTCGGACAAATAAGAAGCATCAGAGTTCTTGAAGTAAATAAAAGGAGAATGGAGGGTCTGTGGTTAAAGTCCTGGATTGACCTGGTTTTCATTCCAAAACTCATTAACTTCTTTTGTGACCTTGGGCAAGTCACTTCACCTATGTGTTTCATTGTTATCCCTATCTCTAAAACAGGGATAGTAATATTTCTCTACTTCACAAGGGTGTTGTCAGGCTTTAATTCATTAATAATATAAGTGACCTATTAATGAATAGGTGTGGTGATGAGCACCACTGAACTGCCCATAAACAATTAAAAAGGAAATGGAAAAAAGGAAAACATAAAAAATTATTTCAACTCCATTGGTACCCTCTGTGTGGTGATGCCCGGTTTATAAAAACCCTTTTTGTAACTAGGAAATTGAAATTAGCTTGATCTTAGAAATACTTTATGGTTCATCATATACTTTACACATGAGTAAAAATTTAATAGACTTGTTTGTGAGGACAAAATATGGCAATCTAGCCCTAGTTCATAATTACTATGTATTTCTAGAATCCAGTACTTACGTCACATTTCTGGTGTTAGACTTGTTGCTAGATTCAAGATGTGGTACCATGGACTTCAAATAGCTTTTCAGATCTGCACCACTGAAACCAATGATCAGACATGTGTAATGAATGGATGATACTGGTTAAACACAGTTACAGTTAGGTAGCATTCTGTATGAAGGTCTTACGACTTGTAAACATTTAGGACCAGATCATTCACTTCCAGGGTTGATGCCAATGGGATACTTATGCAAGTAATTACAAGCAATTGCTCCTTCTTTCCTACCCACTCATTTTTATATTCAACTTAGGAACTTCTCATCCATATCCCTTTCCATTCAAGCCCTGTTAGAATAATGTTATCGTTTTATAGCATTGAACATGCTATGCAGAAAATGCTTTGCTGTGGGTGAACTCTGTGAAATGGCACTAATTCTGAATTCTCAATTTGCTAATGTTAATTTCACTCCAGATACATTTTCATTTGACAGTAAGTCACATATACTTACAAAGCTTTTTGCTTCCTTTTATGAACTTTGCCTTCTCCAAGCTTGCAATCTGCTTCTTTCAGTTCGGTTGGGTGGTTGTGAGAAAAAAATAATCCTGGCATATTGCTTAATCTCGGTGTGTGACTTCTGAAGAGATAGTCCTGAGAGCCGCAAATGTCTGCTTGCTGCCTCTGGTGCCTGTTGCCTTTTATTGATCCAAGCCGCCTCTCGAATTGGTGTGAACAGATCTGTTTATCATGCAACATAACCACAGGCTGTGGAAGTTCCCCTTTTTCAGTGCACAGTGACGTGTGTCTTTCATAAAGAAAACAGACAGCATTCGTCTTGTGGTGAAGGCTGAACCGGATGAGACTGGGTTTTGTGAGGCAAAAAAAAGTCTAAGTAAAATTTGAAAAAGCACAAAAAAATCTTGTCTACATCTGATTGGTGATTTGAAAAAGTCTGTTATGAGTATGTTTTGGGACTTTTATTAAATGTGCTTCCAGATGTTTCAGGTTCATTTCATCTAGTTAGAATGTACCTGCTGTACTATGGGATGGATCAGCTATATCCATTATGTACAATTAGAGAGATGAGATGGGTGAAGTAATATCTTTTATTGGCCCAAATTCTGTCTGTGAGCGTGACAAACTTCTTCAGGTCTTAAGGTCTCACCTGAAAAAGAGCTCTGTGTAAATTCCAAAGGGTCTGTCTCTCACTGACATACTCTAGTCCAATAAAAGATATTACCACACTCACCGTGTCGCTCTAATATCCCGGGGTTAACACTGCATACATTACATACAATGGCATATACTGGTGCCATGAGGTAGCAGAATGTAAGAAGTCAGAAAACGTCCTGTGTTAACACCAGAGTTCTGCATCCATATGTAGCATGCTATTTACAATCTATTTATGTTAATTGCACCTTGTGTTAGAATACTGTGAGCAGTACTGCAATATGTTTGTTTATGCTTGGTCTAAAATATAGAAGTGTTTCAAACTGGCTTTTGTAGGAAAGGTCTTGAGAGTTGTCCTGAGTAAATTTGGTCCAATTATTGCATTTCATACCATGCTTTTTGTAGAAGCCCAAAGCCATATTTTAAAGGTGTCTCCATCATTTCCAGTTGTGTGACAGGATTATTTCTAAATTGCTGTACCAATTGCTGTTTGCAGAAAGCAAAGTAAACCTATAACACACTAACTGAAGTGATTTGCCTTTGCTCAAAATTCTGTATTTTCAATAGAGGAAGACACGGGGGATTAGGGCTTGAGTCTACTTGCTAATGGTAAATAGGAACTTTGCCTAGTCAGTGGGGGTTCTGCAGATTTCATTTAAAAATGTCTGTAGCCCTTATGTTTGTGTGAAAATAATCTTCAGAACAGAACAATGGAGGCAGCGTTGTCTTTGAGTCTACACACACACTGCCTGAAATATCTGCCTCAGGCCAAAACTCGTGCCTCAGTGAACAACCTGAGTAATTAAGTAGTACCTCTGGACTAGAACACTGGAGTAACCTTTGTGGCTTGCATCTCCATTATGTGGGGAAAATGGATGATTGAGATAATGGTGGATTCACCAGCCTTGCCCCAAATCCCTGCTAGTACACAGGGAGTTCCCATAGAACTGAGCTTCAGAACATGCAAGGGCTGTATAACTCTTGCAGAGGTTCCCTTAGGATATGTCTACACTGCAATTGCAACCTGCAAATGGCCCGTGCCAGTTGACGGGGCTCAGACTATGGGGCTAATTGTGGTGTAGAAGTTCCAGCTCAGGCTGCAGCCTGAACTCTGGGACCCTTCCACCTCACAGGGTCCTAGAGCCTGGATGTCTATACTGCAATTAAGTATCCCCACAGCCTGAGCCCCACAGTCAGTCCAGGTAGACAAACCCTAAGTCCGATCTCATTCCTATCACTACAGAATTGCACTAGTCCTGCTATTAGAGAAGCCTCCATTGGTGCAGGGGAGGGGGTCATAATTCTTCCCCAAGAGATGTGAGAGCTTCCTCCATTTATCTCTTTGGAATGCTGATTTGGAAACTTCTGTGTATTTCAGTTGACCCCCCGAAGGCTGCTGTCTATCTGGGGTTTCTGGGAAGTTTCAGCTGTTTCCTTTCCTTAAATCCTGCATGTACTTTCAGCTCTGATCAGTATCTAGTGGATAATGTGACCAGGTTGCCTTGGATCTCAGCTACTGAGAACTTTGTCACCTCTCTGAAATTGCTCTACAGGAGCGTGGTATGAGGATACAGTCTGAATGAAAATTAGGTCTCAGTGGTTGATATAAGCATGCAGACATGATGTTTGAGAGCTAATTTGCATGTTGATTGTGTCAGGATGATGGCAGTGCGGCTGTCCTCTGAACATTGGCAATAACGTAAGTGTTTCTGTCTGAATGCTTCCTGTGGTGCAGTTGATGCTCACGTTATCAGGTAAACAATGAAGTCCACAGAGGCAGGCTTATTTACTAAATGCTCTCAAACTCTCTGACCCCATGCAGGGCTAAAAAGGAAGGAGGAGTTGTTAACTTTCAGAAAATTGTTTTTATAATAAAGCCATTTGTTGTCTAGCTGCTGGATTTTTTTCCTTAAGTACTATGGGAATTTTGTAGCTTACAAAATAAATGCATCAGGTCAGTATGGGGCCAGATGGAAACATGTGGAGCCCAGTTTTCAGAAGTGGACAATAAATACCACATTTGGATACTCAAACTCGCCCTTAGGTGGGTAAATGACCCCTTCTTGTGTTTACTTGCTGGCTTGGGTGTCCAAACGTAGGACTGGGACATCTGACTGAGGTATCCATGTTTCAGAATTGGACTCAGGAGATTAAGCACCAAGTGCTTGGTCCTGTAAGATGCTTAGCACTCTTGAGGATGCTCAGCACTTCTCAGCTCCTATTGGAGTTGGTGGCAACTGAGGGTAATCAGCACCACGAAGGAATTCTCAGCACTTTGCTGAATCAACTGGGGCATCATTATGAACCTATAGCTGTGGGATGGGTACAAACAAGCCACCAGGCTTGGTTCTATGGCTTTGAGAAGAGGGTTAGGCCTGGTATTTGTTTGCTGTCCTTGCTGAGAAAATAAATGTTTATTTTACATGTCTGAGTCCCCATTCTAAGCTTGACTAGTGAACAGTCATTTTTCCCACTCCAAACAAGGAGAACATAGCAATTTTCTTTTATCTTTAGAGCGGGAACTTGTTAAAACTGTACCTTTTTAATCCTTATTTTGTTTGTTTCCGTCCCCTAGAATGCGAGGACCACGTTAGCAACCCTTTTACGTTATATATTCAACTGAGTAAATAATGGATCTTATTCTCCTGTTACTTGCACCAGTGTAACTCCATTGACCTTGATGAGGTTACCTCTTATTTACATTGTTGTGAGTAGGGAATTGGGCCCAGTATTTTTTTTATGTATGCTTATTCTATTAAATGACAATTTGATTTAATAAATTAATGGTTAAACTTCTTAAATGGTTTGATGATTCAGACCTGCAGTACTTACCAGAATTGCATTTAAAGTAACTTTTCAGCTTGTCAAGGGCACTCACAGTTGAAATAGCTTTCTTTGGCAAATCTATTTGTTATATCCAATTTTTAAAAATTTGAACAGAAATATTAATGACCAAGTTGTCCCTGTTTTATAGTACTGAGTTTTGAGTGTTGGCACAAAGCTGTACTTCAGTAACAAGGAGATGAAGAACTTTTATTCTCATTCCAATTTATGTAAAGGAGGATCAGATGCCACAGAGATGGGCAGCAGTGCGAAACCCTAAGATAGAAATACAATGATCATTGCTGATGACTTAGTCTTGCTATTTCATAGTTGATGCTGTGAATTTATTAGGGTATTTCTTTAGAAAAATCCTTGAACATGTAGCTGGTATTGCCATAAAACTATAAGGAATTTCCAGGAAGTTACAACAGAAACTTTGAAGCAGGAACTAGTGAGGAAACAGTTTCAAAATATTTCAGAGATTTTGTGGTTAGATCGACATACACCTGATGTAGAGCCTTTCCTATTTGGTTTGAGAGGCTCTTAATGCCACTTCTCTCTGGTATTTGCCAAGATATCTGGAATCTGGTCGTGGAACTTTTTTTGTTACACACAGCTGGTCAGCCTTGAAGTGATGCTGGATGAGGGTGCATGAAAGAATGAGTTTCTTCGTAACACTATGAACAAGGGCATGATGAGGAGGGAAAGATACAGTCCAGCCCCCAAACATTTCACTATAGGATTCTTGACATTTGGGTTCCAAGTCCAAAGGGAATATTTTTAAATGGTTAAACCAACAAGGTAAGTTAAACGATATAAAATGAATATATTGGAAAGAGCTTAAATAGGGTCTATCAGAAACAGGATTCATACCTGTGGGGGCTTTCATTGGTGTAAACCAGAGTAGCTCCATGGATCTCAATCTGATTTTCTCTAAAATGAGTTAAGGATAAAAGGAAAACCATGGGCCAGATTCTCAGCAGGCATAAATCAGTGTAACCCCATTTAAAACAGTGGAGCAACTCTGAATTATACCAGTTGAGGATCTATGCCATGGTTTTCCTTTCATCCTTAACTCATTCTGTGGTTCACATTATTACAGAACCACATATGACATGCATACCTGTGAAACAAAACGTGAATTAAGGAGAATGACAACAATTATTTTATGTCTTTTTCATAATCTAGTCCTTGACTATTTTGGTCTATATGTTCAGTGGGTTTCTACAGATGCATTTGCAGACCACTCTCATTCACAAATAAGCCAATATTAGAGCATGCAAAAAAAGGTAATTGCATACCTACAGTTTGGTTTGTCTGTGCAAATGCTTATTCATATACTCAAATCAATGTTGATGGTAAATTTTGCAAAAGCCTTTTGTTATGTTTGTATTTTAATGTGAAGTGAGACTTGAAAGAGTAAAGGTTAAATCTAAAACCGTTCCTGGGCCACAATCTGATTTTAGCTGCATGGCTACATCTCTTCTATTATTCCCCATTTCTGCAAACTTCCAGCTATTTCTTTCAGCCTTGCTCCCAGTCCCCTCACTCTTTGGAATCCTTGTTGCTAGGTCCATTAGCTGAAATAGCTTCTTTTCTCGGTCATGTTGTTGCTGAACTGACACATGGTCTTA